ATTTCACGATCATATTATGTGCGAACATGGTCGTTTCATGATCAAGCTGAACCACAATAAGCTGCCACATGACGATACCATGTATAAATCATTAGTTAAAAATTATTTGATCACACGAGATTATGTGTTTCATGAGGATTGATTAGATGAGAGAAATATTACGATAAACAAACTTTTACTCAAAACTATCATCGCTAACACTACAATTCGATTAATAAAAAGAGAAGTTAAAAGCAATTATCTGGAGAAAACAGCTTTCCTGTGAAGTAGCCATTAAAGATAAACAATTAAAAACTGTTTTCACCCATCAAACTCGAGCCGTTAGAACCGACTGACGGCACGGACTTGGCCAAACGAGGTTACAAACAATACATTAACGTTTCTTACTAATGCGCATAGTTTATCATAATTGAATATGTTATAAACAATTAAAAACCATTTTTAACCATTAAATGTGAGATGTTAAAACTGACAAAGGCTTACTTGGCTTTTTTATAGAATAAGGGTGACAAACGAGCACACAGTCCACCTGATGGTAAGTGGATGCTGTGGCTCATATACATCTACGTTTATCCTCAATTAAGAATCAAAATACAAATGCGCCGCCACCCCTGAGGACTGAGATGGAGTGCCTCGTTTCCAGTAAATGGGTCTCTGGTTCTTTACACTAACCATACGAAACGCAGCAGCCTTGAGCTGCTATTTTACGCTGGTATTTTGTGAGAGCGTGGTCCTACCTCGGTCGAGCCGACCCATTCGTAACCACAATATAGCTACAGCATAGCTCTAACACGTAAAGCATGGCTCCACCACCTAAATGGAGTTACTAACAAAATATTATTAATGAGTTTACAAACAATAACATAATTACCGGTTCTTACAAATTCGCGTATTTTAATATAATTGAATTTGTTATTAATAATTAAAAACAAATGTCATGTATTAGATGGGAGAATCGACCAGTGCTAACTCGGCTAAGTTTGATTGCAAATAATTAATTAATACTTTAAAAATGCATATTGTTAATAATTATTAAATTTGTTTCAAAATTAATAACTTCATTTGTTTTTTCGTATGTTGGCTAACAGTTATAGTCGCAATTAATCGGCATATGTTCTAGAATGTTTTTAAAAGTAATTGACAACAATAATTGCAGTAGTGGTGTTTAGGCCATATAATTTCAAATATTCTAAAACGACTTTAAGCTCAGGTTTTTTTGCGATTATCTAGATAAATAAGAAAATTAAGTTAAATAAAAATTGTGAATGCATTAATTTTAAGTAAAGAAAGTTGTCTTCACTCATTTTATTTTATTCTTTAATAATCCTCATAATTTTGTTGTAAAATGGTGTTGAAGTAAAAAAAGTTAAAATCGATTTTGCATCAAACCTAAAAATGATAAAAGATAACGTGTGAGTACGTAAGAGATCTTTTGGTGTTAAATTACACACCAAAAAAAAAATTGTCGAAACTTTTTTAATGTCTCTTAGAGTTCATGAGATAATCATCAAAACCGTTGATTATGTTAGTTTTTCGAATTAAAAAAATAAAACTTCCATATTTTTTAATAAAATATAACTTAAAAAATTCCTGGCATTGCTCTCTATCTGTTTGTAAAGTTTCATTACAATCGGATCAGCTATTTCGAAGCACGGACAGACAGACACAAAAATAAAAAAGTGTTTATTTATGTCTTAGAGATTGTATTCAAATAAACCCATGAGCTCAAAAGAAGGCGTTCATTTCGATATTACAGACAGACATCTTAATTTAATTCGTATGTATATATTTATAGTTAATAAACAATTACGAAAACGAAAATAAAAATTAATCATTATGATTAGACATGTGATCGATGTTAGACATATAATATAATATGTACGTAAAATATACTTATATTTGAGTTCACTGTTTAGGGTGCACGCAGGTTAATCTTTGTATAAAAATGTATTGTATTCTCTATAACACTTCAAAAAGTGTATTCATTGAAATATTATACAAATTAATTGCAAAAAGACATAAAAATAAAAATTGTTTCATAATTTTGATTGTGAAAGGGATTAAAAGTTGAGTGCGAAATTGACTTTCGAGAAATTGTTTCACCTGTAATACCGCGGGATTTTAAAGATTTCAATTAATTATAATTATAACTATACTACTACTATAACACTACTACTACTATATATATAACATTATAAAACTTTAAAATAATATCAAAAGACAAGAGTGTAAACTCGTAGTTTTTTATTAGTTTCCAGTAAAAGTTATCTATAGTATATATCTATAGTAATTAAGCATCAGCCTGTAATGATTATTATAATGATTTCACAACACAAATCACATAATCGCTTTATTTACTGGGTCCGATGAACCCACACTTGATACAGTGTGTACAAAAAGACAAGCTCGTCAAGATAATGTATAGTTGCTTTGTACAGCGGGTTATCAGTGACAGTGACAAGTTTTAATAAAGGACAACTACCGCGCTTGACCGAGCCGAAGGAAGAAAAAAATTAAATCAGAAATTATTACAATACGCCTTGTGTAGGTTTATCTGTCTATGGATCTAAATGCAGCACGAACAAAGCGGAGGCAGAGAGTATAGAGACATTTATAGATTTGACTTTAGATTGGTCATGGATTATTAATATGATCTCCATTGGAAAATATTCTTATGCTTATGTGTCTATTAATTTATTAGTACCTAGAGTATCGTATGTTTTGCTTTGATTTCTTCTTTATATTAGTTCTAAAATCATTACAGAGATTTTTTACATCTGATGATGGTGACGATGATGACATTATCATCTCGAATATACAGTAACTTTTACTTGTTTTTTATTGTTTTTGTTTCTCAAGATTATTTCCTTAATTTTTACTATTATAAAAAAAATCGAAAGAAAGCAGAGTTGCGAACGATTTTTTTTAGTTTATTCGTTTTAAGTACTTACTTTCAAGAACAACCACACGACCACCTCTCATTTACTATCTACGACACAGTTAAATTGCGGATTTGGATGAACGACGTTTAATTCAAAGTTTGTATCTAACGAAAACAGTATTGGCGCTTTAAATGTATAACTAGAAGGAAAATACACCGCACAGTTGAAATAAGACAGTTAAAATAGAATCGTATATTGTAATGTTAAATGTAATTTTTTTATTACATGTCACATGTCAGCAAAAACAATTAGCACATCCATTTTATTAGTTTCTATTTATTACCTAGCTTCGAATTCCAAATAATCTAAATTATATGAAAATAATATATTTGTCACTTATTTCTAGGGCATTTTTGTAATTTTCTTATTTTTTATTGATATTAAATATTAATGATATTCTCGAAATTGAACCTTCAAAAATATTATAAATTTTACATTTTAGTACTTAAAGAAATTGAACTCGGGATCGATAACTTAGTTGTCATTATCTTTGCTCGTGGAAGCGCACAGTCTTCTCATAAACGGAGTTATGTGGTATATATATTTATAACATGTACTAAAATAGTCTTCCTCCATAGATTGACTAAGGGAGGACAAAAATGTGCATTCATTCAATTTAAACTTTGTGAAGATAATTTCATTATGAAATTTTGGTTAGGTACCATGTTGACATTGAATCTACTGGTGGTGAATAAAAGATAAAAGAGATTAACATGTAAAGTGTTATATTATATAAAAGTATTTAAATTCACATCAATGTATAGGTAATCATTATTTTATCAGTCACTGAAAAGAACAAGGAGCAAAAATAAAACTCGTTACCAACATCGTTGTTAGTTGTTTGCCTTGGACTCGTAATGTTCCTGAAATATACTCAAAAGGGTATAAACCTAAACTTTTAAATAAGCCTTTAAAAAGTAATAAACTGAAAAACTACAGACAATATATTAATTTCTACATAATAGTTCCCGAAATCGATACGTATAAGACATTTTGCGTGGTAGAGCCACGATGCAGCTATATTACTGGTATAGTTATAGCACGAATGAGTCGGTTCGACCGAGGAAGGACCACGTTCTCACAGAATACCAGCGTAAAATAGCAGCTTAACGCTGCTGTGTTTTGTATGGTGAGTGTAGAGAACCGGATACCCTTTTTACTGGAAACGAGGCATTCGATCTTAGTCCTCAACTTTTTAATTGGACTAAGGAATAGCACAAGTTCAAGGTAACAAAAACATTAATAACTTCATGTTCTATTTTAAGCCCTTAGGTATAATTATTTTGAATAAAACTAGTTTTATGGATTTTATCGCGTTTAATTAACTTATTTTTACTAATTCCCTAAATAAATTTATTCAATGTGTAGTGTTCGCGTAAAGATAAGAAATCATTATATAATTATTTTTCTAAAAACCTTATTTGGAACTTTCCCTGCTGTATAATTGTATTTTGTATATTGCTGTATATATTTATTATGAGAAGAATCATTAAAATCGGTTCAGTCGTTTCCGAGAAATCAGTAAACGTATATACAACATACGCGTCGAATAAAGAATCTTCTTTGTTTTTTGAACTCGGTTTACAATGTAAAAGATATTTTCAGGAGAGATCAAAGAATTTTCACTAGTCGCCTCTTGTGACCCAGGACAAAAATGGGACATGAAAATATGTTTTAGGGATTTTTACTGTATTAAAAAACCATGAATAAGATGAAGTAAAATGTAAATTATATGAAACAAAATAAGCATAAAAAGTCTAAAATGAATATCTTGTTTCCAGTAAAAATGGCCTCCGTTTATTTACATGCATTTTTTCAAGCCGGTCAAGTATACTCTTTCGTACTGCAGTCATAATCCAGTTGCAGCGTGGCTCTAACCATGTGCTCTAGTTGTAGTAGCTGTTCGCTATTTATAATTTGTATTTGGATGCATTCTATTTACAGATATATGTAGCTATATAATCTAGTTCATAAATAAAGTTAAATACTAGGTTTTTATCTGTCAATCAATAAAGATATGTTAAAAATGTATTATTTATAATTAGTTTTATCTCTTAGCCCAAAATAGAGCGCCGCGGATCAAAGAGCATCCATCCAACACAGTCTCAGGACGCAGTGAGCCAGCGACTCTAAGATGTGTGGTGGAAGGTCGCCCGAAACCAGCTGTGCAATGGTTCAAGGACGGCGCACCTTTGCCCCCGGCCGAAGACGGTCACAGGGTACTATTGGAAGACGGACTGCTGTTTTTAAGGTATGTAAGTAACAAGGGAAGTAAGTGGAAGCTTTGTCATAAATATACAACTTATTATAATATCATAGTTATATAACATTACTAAAAATTAAATAAATTTATAAGTCTAATCGCAATATTAGTTTGATTATTAAAATTAGTTCATATTTTTTTGTTTTAAGTAAGTTCTTGGTTTGTTTGCTAACAAATTTATATAAAATTTAATTCTTGAAAACGTTAAACTAGTAAAAGACTCCCCTACCGTTTTGGTAATGTATTACAACAAAACACTCACCACAACAAAAGAATCACTCATATAAATACAATAGAAGTGTCTCTCTGTAACATCAAAATAATAATAGCTCCTATTGAGCTCAGGTTATTTGCTTGCTATTAAGATATAAATAACCATTTTTAAAATCTTTGTCTGTTTGTGTCTGTCCTGGGCTAATCTTTGGAGTTAAAGCCGGTATTCTGAAGAGTGATTATGATAAAATTTAACAAACAGGTAGAGGGCAATGCTAGAAGGGAGATAGGCTATATTTAATCCGAAAACTATGAAGATTTTGTTTTGGTCTTTGATTATTTTTAATCCAAATAATATGATCGCTAGTTAGAAATAGAAATAATTAAAATATATAGAGTATTTATTAATTTTAGGGTAAATCGAGGCAAAAAAGATAGCGATGAAGGGATTTACTGGTGTGTAGCAAAAAACATAGCCGGGGAAGCTATAAGTCACAACGCATCTCTCAATGTGGCTGGTAAGTTTAACTACAGTAGCTATATTTTATTCAATAACAAGTAACTACCTTTATTTAATTAATTGATGTCTTTATATAATAATAGTAGAATTATTTATAATACACCATTTTGGATTTTCTCTGTTAGCCTCTAAATGTCAGCAGTATAAAAGCGTTGGCTCCATCGCCATGCTTGCACTTTTATTGTGTATTTTTTTACAGTAACTACAGTATTTTTGCGTGGTAGAGCCATGCTGCAGCTATATTATGGTTCTAGCACGAATAGGTCGGCTCGACCGGGGAAGGACCACGCTCTCACAGAATACCAGCGTAAAATAGCAGCTTAAAGCTGCTGTGTTTCGTATGGTGAGTGTAGAGTACCGGAGACCCTGTTTACTGGAAACGAGGCATTCCATCTTAGTCCTCACGGGTGACAACGCATCTGCATTTTGACTCGTAATCGAGGATAAATTTAGATGTCTATGGACCATAGCAACCACTTACCATCAGGTGGACTATGTGCTCGTTTGTCACCCTTATTCTATAAAAAATAGTAAATATACACAGGAGAAAATAAATAAATAATCAAGCAACGTTGATACCAGGTCGTTTTTCATATTATGAAGAATTTAAAAGCTTTAGGTATAACGACACTCGCTTTTATTTCAGTACTACGTGATGAATTTAGAGTAGAACCTCGAGATGTGCATGTAGCTGCAGGTGAACCTGCTCTATTAGAGTGTTCACCACCACGTGGTATTCCAGAACCGTCTGTACAATGGCTGAAAGACGGACAAACGTATGATGTTGAAGTTAATGGGAGGTAAACGCCATTAAATATATCACGTCATAAAATGTCTCCCAAAGCGTTGGTTGGAGCAATAAAATTAAGTTTGTGTTAAAATAAAATTGTTTATTTTTAGAGTTACGGTCACTGAAACTGGGAGCTTAAGAATCTTAGAAACGTTACCAACTGACAGTGGACTATACCGATGCGTGGCTTCTAATGTCGCTGGTGAAAGACAGTCTAGGGCTGCAGCATTAATTGTTTTGAGGCGGCCACATTTTGTTGTAAAACCTAGCAATATTACCGCTTTAGTGGGACAGAATGTAGAATTTAATTGTCAGGTATGATTCCATTTTTAAATTCAAATAATTTTGTTTACTAAAATATGTTCTAGTTAAGTTTTAAGTTTTGCTTGCCTTAATTTATTATTAGAATTAACGTTATCGTAAAAAAAAGTTTAAGGTCTATTCCTTTAATGCTTTTAAATTATTTATTTTATTATTTTTTTATTTTATTATATTTTAATAAATTTATTAAAGTCCTTTAAATAAATCGGTACTAATATCATTATCCTTCGTCAGCATCTAAGTATTGCTCGCGAACAATAATTTCGGTTAGAAAGACTTCAAAGTAAAAATTCGGAAACCACAAATATAAACATATATTTGATACGTTTGCACTTATATATAACAACATTAAATGTTTCATATCGCTTATATTAAAATGTTACCGTCAAAATCTTTTACGAATAACCTAAAGAAACAAAGCGCCCAACGCTATTTCAAATGAGGTGACAATCAAAATGCTTAGACTATGGATTGCATTGATACTATTTCTGTAGCTCCTGATTCTCCAGGCCAGAAACTATAAGTATATGTTTTACAAATTTTAAAGAAAGGGAATATATTTACTATAAATTTCTGGTTACAAAAACGTTTAATATACGAATTTATCGTAGCTTAATGTCGTCACATTTTTTCTTTAACTATTTTTATGCTGGTTGTTGTCCCAGATTTATGTTTGGCTGACGTTTTTATCTCGTAGGGCTGACAAGTGTTCTATGCGTACAATTTTGATTTTAGATTTTTATATTTATTATTATAAGCGCTGATTTCCAAAATCTGACTAAATATAAAAGTGAAACAATGTCAGTTATTTTATTCATACAACTGTAATTCTTAATTTGTTTATGTTTATTTTATCCTATGAGCAACTTTAATCTTAGAATTTAAAAGTCGGCCCTTCATGTAATTATTGTTTGATTTTAGAGTTATGATTCATCAGTGTCTATTACATGGGTCAAGGAAGATGGTGCTCTGCCAAACCACGCAACAATAATCCGTGGTCTATTAAGACTTGAACATGTGTCCGCTACAGATGCGGGCGTCTATTCCTGCCGGGCCGACAGTGTTGCCGGCTCGAGTATAGCAAGCGCTTCACTAACCGTATACTGTAAGCTCGGTCATTTGGTTTAGTTTTATAGCGTGGATATTTCGATATCGGGGACTATTTTAATACGGCCATCTGTTGCAGCGTTGCCGCATTTCACACAGATACCGTCCAATCTGACCGCATGGGAAGGCGATGTGGTGTCCATACCTTGCGAAGCTAAAGGTCTGCCGACACCCACTACGTTTTGGATTCTGGAAGGGAACGAGGATGTTTTGTTATTCCCTGAATGCACTAAAAGCAACTCAAGTCTGTTATATTTAGATGGTGCAAAATCAGAGCATGGCGGGAGAGTTATATGCGTAGCTGTGAATGCAGCTGGGAGTGTAATGCAAGAAGCTTACTTGAATGTATTAAAAAAAGGCGTTAGTGCTTTTAAACAACATTCTATACATGACTCGAGCGATAGCTACGAATACGAAGCTCAGATGACAGAATACGAACTCGTACAAGCAAGAAAGTATTTAAAACAAAATGTTCTAGTATTGAGAAGAGTGGAAACTTTGTCGTCAACTACTCTTAAAGTTGTTTGGGATGTAGGTATTGTTACAAACTTTTATCACTGTTACAAACAATATGATGTTGTTAATGTTTTATTTATTTTAGGTCTTAACAGATTACAATGAATATTTGGAGGGAGTTAAAATATGGTTTAATGGAACTTCACTTAACTGGCGAAATTCTAGTTTCGAAGATGTTGGGAATAATTATTCCCTAACAGAAGCGTTCTGTTTGAATGGTTCTCTTACGAATGTGGACAATAGTGGATCTTCCAGTTATATACTTTCTGGATTAAAGGCGTATACACAGTACGATATATTTCTAATGCCATATTACAAAACGTTATTAGGAAAGCCATCGAATTCAATGTCAGGATACACCGATGAAGATGGTAAATGGATCAATTACTTTCGTTAACATTTATTAGGGTGAAAGTATCTGTTACACAATAAATTTTGTTTTAGTGCCGTCAGTTCCGCCCCAAAGTGTGACTGCGAGTGTAATTAACGCGACCTCGGCGAGGATACGATGGGAACCGCCACCTGCTAATACTTGGAACGGGGAGCTTACAGGTTATTTGGTGAGTTTTCATTTCTACAACAAACCTTAAATTATCTCAGGGCCTTCAAATATCCCATATTTATATTGTAAAAATTATAATAAAATGTTTAGAATTCAGGAAGGATAATAAATATTTATATACAGTGTGTATTTGCTTAAATAATTACAACCTCTAATTCTAATCATGAAGAGTTAGCATAAAAATATATTACATGCGGGTAAGATATGTTTTGTTATTTATATTATTAAATATACAGGGATAGGTTTCGTTATATTTGGCATAACCCAACTAATAAAAATCGCTTAAATAGTCAACTTTATATACTATCATAAGTTGTTACATTGATAAAAGATAAAAAATGTGTGTGTATTAATGATTTAACCGTTCTAACTATAATTAAAAAATATAGAGCGATTTGTATTTGTTACATAATATAATGTTACATCCGTGTGACGTTAGAGCCTGTAGATTCGTTGATCTTGAGATCAAAATCAATTCAAGTTCAATATTCGTCCAAAAGAAATTAATGCCTTTGCAGTTGTATTTATTAATAAAAAAGAACGAATTGTATAACTGTTCTCAATTACAAATCCCTAACAAAATTGTAATAGTACATATAAGGGTGAAATAGATAACGCAGATGACAATTTTAACGGATCTTGAATTTGAAATTTTTTCGATTATTTTTTCCTAGTACATTTTTATAACTTGTTATCTTATTAGGGGCGTGATAATATATACATACTCTTATAGTTGATTGTGTTTGTCATAACAAAAACTCAATAACAGATCGAAATTCGCGTGGGAGGTAACTCAGGGGGCCGGGTAGTCGGTCAGATGTCGTTGGGGTCCCGTACGCGTGCAGCCACTGCCAGCTCACTGAGGGCTGGCGGACGGTATAGCGCGCGCGCCGCAGCCGTCACACGTAAGGGACATGGACCATTCAGCGTACCCGCCCTCATACATATGGTGCCTACACAATCGCAGAGGCATTACGTGCAGTAAGTATAGTTGAGTTTTCTACGTACGAGTACATTATATTTTATTGTCATTGTAATTTTGGCCCTTATGAGTGAACTTAGAAATATAACAAGCTCAGGGTCACGACTAGAATGTTGTCTCAATATTTACCACCACCACCACTGACCACCCGTTAAATAATAAAGAATAATTTTATTGTATATGATCAGTGTAATAAATTAATTTTTAGCAACACATAAACGAAGAAATTTAAAAAAAATTGTACCGCTATAATACATAATTAATTTTAAATATAAATTATTTCTCCATAATTGTAGTCGTTCATGTTGCAGAATTTTAGGGTATGTAAAAATCACGAATGTGGTCATTATGCGTCTTTCCATGCATCTTAAGGTTGACTAATATTATTAAACTTAGTTTATCAGAAATTATTATTAAAAAAACATGTACCAAGTTTGTGAGCAGATTTCCTATTACGTTATATCTGTGACATAATGGAAGTAATAAAACTTTAATAAAAAAAAGGTCATTATAGGAATAATTTTGTTACAGAACGGAACCACCAAAAGATACGAAGATCCCTCACATCCTCCAAGAGACGTGGTTATTAGTTCTTTGTTTAACCCTATTCACCATTATAATTATTGGCGTGTTCAGTATTTATTATTTAAAACGACGAAACACCGTGCAAAGAAAGAAGTCCACTGGTAAGGCGAAATCATAGTAAGCCAGCTTAATGTTTAGTGTTCAACAAAATGTACTAGTAATTGAAATATTGAACCCAATTGTAGGTCAGTCGATTGTAACGGCGCAGCAATGTCTATTGAATAAAGATACGATTTGGCTCCGCGAGCGACCCGTGTTCGCGCCGCCCAATGAACCGACGTTAGATGTCGTAGGCTGCCATCAGAGTCTGCTACAAGGTGACTTATAATATGTTATAAAATAACTTAAGGTTGCAGATACAACAACAATTACAATCTAAGTATGGCCCCACTGTTGAGCACAGGATTATTTGGATTTTCGAGAAAATTAATTAGTCCGCCGTACTTCCTTAGTGCGTGTTGGCGGACATGTTACATGTCTTCGAAATATTTTCACTCCTTAGACACGGTAGAGCCATTCTGCAGCTATATTATGGTTGTAGCACGAATGGTTCGGCTCGACCGGGGAAGGACCACGCTCTCACAGAATACCAGCGTAAAATAGCAGCTTAACGCTGCTGTGTTTCGTATGGTGAGTGTAGAGAACCGGAGACCCTTTTTACTGGAAACGAGGCATTCCATCTTAGTCCTCACGGGTGACAAACCATCTGCATTTTGATTCGTAATCAAAGATAGATGTCTATGGGCCACAGCATCCACTTACCATCAGGTGGACTGTGTGCTCGTTTGTCACCCTTATCTCATAAATAATGTGGGTTTCCTCACGATATTTTCCTTTATCGTAGATTACGTGGTAAATAAGTATTTATCTAACCGTTTAATTAATGGCGCTGGGAATCAAATCCGAATTGTTCACATATTATAAAATTTATCCCCTGAACTACCAGAATATCTTCTAAATCATGACAATAAAATGCATTTAATCATACTGGCAACTCCATATGGAGTACTTTAAGTTCATTAGTTTTCCGACTAATGGCTCAATGAGCGACTTAATGTGAAAAGTTCGTCTACGTTTAATAATTAGCTCCTGTAACAACGTCGCCTTTATTTAAGAAAGGAATATAATAAAAATTCTATTTTTTTGAACCTCATACCACATTAATAGCCTTTTGAAGTCTACTGTTGGTATGAGATAGGTTTTTCATTAGGTTTCAGGACTAATAAAAAATTTAAATTAAGAATTACTAATACATACAGTCACACGAATACACAGTACATATCTTTAAAATAGTGCCTATGCGTCTTTTCTACCGATTTCAAAAAGGAGACGGTACACAATTCGACTGTATGTTTTTTTATGTGTGTTACCTCATAACTTTTTACTAGGTGAACCGATTTTGATGATTCTTTTTTTATTTGAAAGCTTCTGCTTCACATGTGGTCCCATGATTGATCAACGTCTGACCAATAGTTTTTGAGTTATTCTTAATAATTTATATTGAAGTCGGTTGTACAAAATGTTTAATTTTAAATTATTATACCGTAAATTAAAAGGCAGATAGTATAAAATAAGATAAAATACAAAAATTACAGTACAAGATATTACAACATTATACATTGTAGATAGTTTGTGAATGCATAGCCGACACCCTTACACTGACAATCCACCCATTCCATCCATTACAGACTATCAAAAGTTTACTGCCGAACAAACATAGGCCTCTCCTATTAACTTCCCCTTACGAAATATGTTATAGCTGAGAAAGATATTATATAAAACCATCTCAGAAATGAGAGGAGGCTGTGTTGCCACGCTTGGCGGGCGGGTTGGCAACCGTAGTTATTTTGAACTATTTAGAATTATTATCAGTAAGATGTTGCTGCCCATCATCTGTTTCATTTTCCTCTAACGCCTCTTACCACATCCACGGAATGATATAAGATTTTCTTACACTTTTTATACTGATTCAAGAAATATTAATAAATTATTATTTGATGTACGATAAATCTGTATTTTCTGCCGACTTCCAAAAAGGAGAAGGTACTCAATTTGACTGTATGTTTTTTTTATGTTTGTTACCTTATAACTTTGTACTGGGTGAACCGATTCCGATGATTCGTTTTTGATTTGAAAGCTGGTACTTTTCGTGAGGTCCCATATAAATTTGATCAAAGTCAGACTAATAGTTTTTGAGTTATTCTTAATAAATTATATTGAAGTCGGCTGTACAAATTTTTTAATTTTTAATTATTTTCTTTAACTTCTTTTAGGAGGCCAATCTACGAGTATTCTTAATGTGGAACCCGAATATTGTCTTCCACAAAATTCCATCATAGATGCATCAAGCGTCGACAGAATTAAACGCGGCCCACCGGAACCGTACGCGTCGAGTGCTATTTACACAGAACTCAATTTCAAGGTACCACGCGATAAGCTTTATGAGAATTTCATTGTTGACATTCGATAAGATTACATTCCGGCTCGTTTTGCGCAAGTTTACACTGACGCTTGTGATATTTAGACTAAACAATCCGTTTACTAATATGCCTGAATTTCCACGCAGGACAATAGCGACATCGGAGACCTGAGAAATTGTCCGGAAAGGCGATCGCACAACAATAGCATTGTTAGATCTTGTAATGGGAGCATTCAGTACTCTAATGGGGAATGCTCGACGTGTTGCCACAGTACATCGAGTAGATCGACGAAAGACTATAGGGAGCTACGACATGACAATGTACATAACGAGATTAATGTTATTGAGGATGATTGCGCGTCTTGCCACACGAATAGATCCGGCTCGAGGAGTAGACAGGACAAAAGTAAAGTGTGTCCGGCCAGTGATTTAGAATACGATTACCCACAGTGGCATTGGCTTGGCAGGGAGAACAGTTTCAAAATTCCCATTCAGATGAGCAGACATTCGAATGTGGCTAAGAGCGAGCAGGGCTGTCAAATAAATCTGAGTGATATATTGCCGCCTCCGCCATATGAGGTACACTTGAATTTATTTTTTTGTTTATCTCTTTTTAATGAAGTTTTACTAAGTTTTTAACCGTCGTCATTTTCTTTACAGAGTCCCGAGGGTAAAAAATGAAATTAATATATAAAAACGTAGTTGAAAATTCAATGTAAGTTTGATGGTCGTAAGAAAATTTTAAGAAACTCGAAGCAATAATCAATATCATCGTTTAAAACATTTGTAGTAATGTAGAATATGTAACGAATAACAATCTTTAGGGAAAACCAATTATTTTATATTAGACTTTTACTTAATTTTGGTGGTTGGAGAAGAAAATGTTGTTTTGAATATTCAACAAGCATAATGACAAAATTATAAAAGTACATTATACGTCAATAAGTAAGTAATACGTACTATTTTGGATGTAAAAGAATACTTAATCGATACCTTGTATTTCAAAAATAAAAAGGACGTATTGCGCCGTAAAACATATAAATTGAACACCTTACATAAAGATTGTTATTGTTATTAAAAAAAAAGTAGTTGGATTCAATTGTAGTGTTTCTAATGTGTAATCATAGATACTGATGTTTTGATATTTGTATTATGTAACTTATTCCTAATTCTAGTCACAGTATAGACTAGCTTCACTTTTTGATAAACATTGTATGAGAGACTTCCTCTTTTAAAGCAAACTTATACACCGCATGAACACAGGTTGTTCTAAATTGTTCGTGATACAATCATAGCCCTGCATTTCACTGCCCCAACATTTAGCATTAAAGTATTAGTTGTATAATCTTTGACTGTGATATTTATATTAAATTCGTGTATTAGATGTTAATGTAACCCTAATGTAAAAATAAATGTTTCGAAAACTTCACATTTCCAGAATTTTAATCAAACGAACACATGTTTTAATCATAGTCTGTAAACTAACGAGCTACACATTTTGATTTTATATCATCAACGTATTTTCAGAGCCAGTCGTGTTTTCGAAAGAAAAAGATATAGAAACTTTTTAAGAATACGTTGTTTTATTTCACTCTTCGTATGTTTGTTAGAATGATATTAAGTATTCAGTTTCATGGGTTGTTCAAATCCGTTCCTCGTTCCAGAAATCAAGTCATAAAAGCATCGTTTCATATTTTAACTTTAATTTTTTTATTGCTTTCGTTTGCATGTCAAGTATGGTTTATAGTACCACGCGTATAAAAGCGATGTTAAGAGACGATGTAAATAATACACTACTTAGTAATCAAGCACGTCATTAGAGGCTTTCGTCTCTTTGAAGAGTCATTAACTTACGAGGGCGTTGTTAAACGTTATGATACGATATTTTTAATATATTATTTTAATAGTTTTTTATGTGCCTTCTGTACTGAAAAATATGATAAAATAAATTTTGATAGCGATAATAAGACTGAGGATCATTTGTAATTGTTAATATTTGTTGCCTCCGTATTTAAAGGCTTATTGAGTGGTAGAATTCGCCGTGAAGATCCAGTGCGAATTGTAAAGTTAACATGCCGTCAAAATATTTTTAAATATTCATGCACGTCTGCAAGTTTCTTCATGCTATATCTTTTCACAGATGACGTGTTTATTCGGCACTCGAAAATTGCATTGATAATTTCATTAATTAAACAAGGTTGCTTATGTAAAGTAAAGACTGCTAGGTACAAGTTAGATTTCACAAGTCCTTGAAATATTTTTAAATTCTCAGACATGAGAGTTGCCTCAAGATATTTTTAGAGATCAAAGAGTACGATAAATCAGGACTAAATATTCGAATAACTCGGATTCTCGCAATTAACGCTTTGACAATTGAAACTTGCAATTATTGTCACTATTATAGTATATAGTGACAATAACTTGCAATTATTGTCATTATATTTTTTATTAAATAAAATGATAAATAAATTGTCACTAGAAGAAATTTACTAACTATTTTATAGCCGTGCCGTAATTATGCTGCCGTAAAACTAAAACGATCAGGCATATAGTAAATTAATAAAAGTTGTAAATGAAACAAAGACATGTCTATCCTATATTACAAACTGCTTTGATGATTGCGGTATCAATTTTTATCGAAAAAATATGTACAAATGTATATTATTATTTACACAAAAGGATATTGTTGCGCCTTAGTCATCGAATTTTCTCTTCATTTTCTTTAATTAATAACACTCATTGTTCAGAATGAATGATATTTCACCGAATCACATGAAAAGGTACGACTTAAGAGCATTCGGTAATAAATCCCGATTCTCAATTTATTCCCGTCTTGCTTACTATCAACGTTTATGGAAACCTTTTCGTTACGAAACGAGATTTCCTTTATCAGGACATTTTAGAAATGGAACAAAGGGCCATTCGAGTCAAATTACATTCATGCCGTTCTCGGAGCTTTCTGGAAAATATAAGTCTGAGAACACTTCTAATTATTTCTTCGTAGTTGAAGCTTTGGATCGTGCAATTTAGGAAACTACACAGTCGCTGAGTAAGGTAAGTAACTGTAACACTTTAAATATGCAACGTAATCCGGCTTAAGTAAGCGAGGAGTGTCTTTGTCTTCCACTATTGTTATTTGCCGGGGCACATCTTGGAAAGTAAAATGATCCTAGCGAGTTGCTGGAAATATTTTCTATTGAATTTTTCCTTGAAGTATATATTTTCGTTATGCATTTAGCATTATTAAGAAAAAATGTTGATACACAACGACGCCCCGGAGCAAAAAGTTTTTGTGGTATAATTCAGGAATGCGTTGTAAAATTAAGTTTATTAAATTAGGTAGGTATAAAAAAATCTGATTTTGATGATAGCATTGAGTTAAATATTTTAGAAAGCAAGAATTATGAAAAACTACAAATTACTGAAAATGCACTAAGGACATTGTATCAGTAATATTAGCTTACGGGATTGTTATGGTAAATTTCTCAAACGTGATTTTATTGGTAACCTTATACTACTGACATCCTGAAACATTTTTTTATTTAAGAGGCAAAATGTAACATACCTTAACAAAATTATTGCGGTACTTTAATATAATGTCACACAGACCTAATTTCGGTCACTGCGGCCAGTCTCACTGGATACTAGCCATGTGTCTATACCACTTACCCTCATAGTGCGATGGTACGGTAATGCAACACGACAAGAGAGTACAGGCGCAGAACCAACGGCTTTACGTGTTTTCCCGGACACGGGGTGAAACACCGCCAACTTCCTAACTCCAAGCTGCCTCTGTGAATTTCTTGACAGGAGATTCCAATACAGATTTCGGCCCGACCAGGGATTTGAACCTGGATAGATAGATAATCGCAGTTTCAAGCGCTGATTTAATATTTTCTTGCTTCATAGTTCGGTGGTTAATAATTATCGCGTGGAAAATTATGTCCAATAAAAAAAATATTTGGCGATATGTAACTATGTGATAGAACTTCCTTTCTGCCTTAGAACTCATGTGGATACTTAGGTTACATTTTTTAAATCATCATAACATTTATTGAAGTATATTTTGAAAATTTACATCCGATAAAAATGTACTGTAAAAAAGATCGATTCTTTAATTAAAATAGGTTATTCGATGCTGTGTGGTACTAACCAATATACGAGTACAAGTGTCGTAAACATAGTCGTATTCAAAGAATACATAAACGCATTTATTTGTTTAGTGGTACGTTTCGGAATGTCGTCAAATAAACATTTCAATCGACACTGAATTTGACGCCACAGCTCGAATTGCCGGTAGCATTGTGGACAGCACGACGTAATTCGTTTGTTATGGCGTCTACGCTCAGACATCAATGTTGGCGCTTAAATGTGATCAATTGTTTATCACAAATACTTGCGGTATATAAAATTAATATATCATGCTTTATGTTTATGTAGAAAATAATCTCTGTCTCTGTCCAGGGAAATACCAGCAAGAGAACCAGCACAACAATATTTCAAAGTAACATTTAACAATGAAGTTTAAAAAAGAAATATGTTTATTTTCTTTTATTATTCATAGTGCACTCTATCCATTAATTAACTTTTCACTTCTTTCTATTTCCTTAATAGGTTGTTTAGAAGAAATCGCTGTATAGCAATAAGACCGCCTTTTGTTTTTGTCTCTGTTTGTTTCTTGTTATGTTATTCGTTTTCTTAGTGTACAATAAAGGGTATTGTATTGTATATTTATTGTAATACAATTGTTATCATCATCAAACAATTGTCATCATCATCATCATTATCATCATTACAACACTTCACAAGTCCACTGCTAATCATGGCCTCCCTCAAGGAATGCCACAAAGCACGGTCCAGAGCCACCTGCGTCCATCGACTTCCTGCATGAATTACCTGGTCGTCACTCCATCTAGTGGGGGGCTGCCTGACATTTCGTCTACCGGTACGAGGCTGCCCCTCGAGAACATTTCTTCCCCATCGGTTGTCGGTTCTTTGAGTTATATGGCCGGCCCATTGCCACTCCAGCTTACTGATCCGTTGTGCTTTATCGGTTACTCTGTTTTCTCCTCATTTTTAAGTCTATCACGTAGCTCGTAAATCCCAATTATAGCCCTCTCCATCGTTCGCTGAGTGACCTTAAGCTTCCTCGGACGGCCAGCAGTGAAGGACCACGACTCAGATCCATAAGTCATCACTGGCAACACTCAACAACCATTCAGTATTCATTGATATATATTCAATAATATATGTATAGTAAAATAATTGTGTAATCGTATGTTGGAGCACGAATAGGTTGGCTCGACCGGAAAAGGACCGCGATCGTATAGTATACTTGCGTGAAATAGCAGTATTAATGATGAGTTTCGTATGGTGATTAACGAGAACTGGAGACGTTTGATTTTTAATTGAGGATAGATGTAGATATATATATATATATATATATATATATATATATATATATATATATATATATATATATATATTTATATATATATAGCAGACAGTATTCGCATACGCTGCGGCATGTGAGTGTGATTACTACCCCTAATTCTTTAAAAATATTAATTTCTAGGGATCAATCTCACAGAATACCAGCGTAAAATAGCAGCATAATGCTTGCTGTGCTTCGTATGGTAAATCCAGAGAACCGGAGAACCTTTTAAATGGAAATGAGAGAG